AGTGGATAGTGAGGAAGCAGAAGCATTGGGTACAAATAACTTTTTTTTCCCCAAAAGTTTAACAAAATCATAAGTTCTTCTTTTTGTCAATTAGAATTATATAAGGGAATAAGCTCCATAGGCTGGTTGTCAGGAGATCTAGATTCCTGGCCCAGGTCCTCTGCTAACTAGCCATACGACCTGGTACCAAGATACTTTCTCTCTCCAAGCCTCAGTTTCCTTAATTGTAAAAAAGGAGAAATGGTTTGGACTATATAATATAGGAGAGACCCCCTTCCTTCAAAAGTGGAAGACTTGAGATTGGCTGTCTTTTAGACTAAGTAGTGTTGGGCTGAGATGGGTACTAGCCCTAACTTGAGAGTGAACTTAGCAAAGTAATCAATTTGGGGAACTGTTCGCTTGACAATGAGGACAAGAATGTGAGTCCAGATAACTCCCATATCCAGTCCATGATGGCTGGTTGGTAAATAAGGTGCAGACTTGCCTCAGTGGCAGTGAAACAAGCATCATCCTTGAGGTCAGCTTATTGTTATCCTTGTACTCTTAGCCTAGTTCTCAGGCTATCCTTAGAATGTCATTACTGGAAGGACCTTAGGACAAAGAATGTTAGAACGAGGGACATAGATTACAGAGCAGAAAGGAAACTTAGGGAAGAAGGGGGAAAAGCATTTATTAAGTACCTATTATTGTTCAGACACTGTGTTCAGTGTTTCACAAGTATTATGTCATTTGATGCTCACAATCATCCTGGAAAAGAGGATTATCTACAATAATTATATATAAATATAAATGCATATATATATTATATATATATATATATATATATATTATAAGCAAACTGAGGCAAACTGAGGGTCACGTAGCTAACAGGGCAGTTAGGTGACAAAGTGGATAGAGTGCTCAGCCTGGAGTCAGGAACACTCATCTCTGTGAGTCCAAATCTGGCGTGAGACACTGTGCGACCTTGGGCAAGTCACTTAACTGTTTGCCTCAGTTTCCCCACCTGTAAAATGAGCTGGAAAAGGAAATGGTAAACCACTCCAGTATCTTCACCAAGACAACCTCAAATGAGGTCACAGAGTCGGAAACAACTGAACAACAAGCTAGTAAATATCTGAGGCCAAATTTGAGCTCAGGTTTTCCCAGCTCTGGGCCCAGCATTCTAGCCACTGTGCCTGCTAGTTGCCTGAGAACATAGAATGTTAGGAAAAAGGATGTGGAATAAAGAGCTGGAAGGGATTTTAGAGACCATCTAGGCCAACCTTGTCATTGTGTAAATAAGGAAACAGGCCCAGAGAAGGTATGTGATTTACCCAAAATCGCATTGCTCATGGCTTTGTGGTTTACTGGAATTCAGGCCTCTGAGGAGGTACTCTTTCTTTTTAAATTTTTTTTTAATATTTTAAATGAAAATTTTAATTTAATTTTTTAAATTTAAAATTTTTAAATTAAAAATGTTTGTTGCTGGTACTGTTGCTATGTCACATGGGTGACATTAATGCATTAATAATATGCCAGGTGCTGTTGGTCACATGTTTTAGCATTTTTAGAAGTTTCCACCTCTGAGCTTCTTGTCAATTGTCTTCATTAGCTGCTCCCTTCAGTTGTACCCTCAGGGATAAAAGTGCCTTCTCTCCACAGGAGGAGGAACCCAGAAGTCATATTACAGAGGTTTCCCTAGAGAACAAAGTTAACTTCAGGAAGTCACAGTCTCTCAGTTTTCTGCATTTCTAGCTCCCACCCCCACAGGACTCAGAGGTGCAAAGGAACTTGGAGGTCATCTAGTCCAAATGCCTTATGACGATATTAGCTTACATTTGTACTGCGCTTGAAGGTTTGCAAAGCACTTCATGGACCTCACTTGATCTTACAAGGTGGATGTTTTTATTATCTCCATTTTATTGATGGGGCACAGAGAGTGACTTGCCTAGGGTTACATATCTAGTAGGTATTTGAGGCTGAATTTGAATTCAGATCTTTCTGACTCCAAGTCTAGCAACTTTAATGTGACCTTCTCAAAGTCACAGAGGTGATAAATGGGGGATTGGAATTTGAACCCAGGTCTTTGCTGGTGAGCAGCAGCATTGTAAACAGTTCTTTCCCCCTCAATTACATGTAAAGATAGTTTTTAACATTCATTTTTGTAAAATTTTGAGTTCCAAATTTTTCTCCCTTTCCCCTCCCCAAGTCAACAGCCATCTGATACGTTATACATGTACAATCATGTTAAACATATTTCCACATTAGTCATATTGTGAGAGAAGAATCAGAACAAAAGGGAAAAACCATGAGAAAAAAACAAAAACAAAGTGAAAACAGAATGCTTTTATCTGCATTCAGACTCCATAGTTCTTTCTCTGAATGTGGATAACATTTTCCATCATGAGTGTTTTGGAGTTTCTTGGATCGCTGTATTGCTCAGAAGAGTTAAGTTTAAAAAGTCAGTCATCACACAATGCTGCTATTACTGCTCATCATTTCTTATAGCAAGATACTATTCCATTGCAATCATATACCACAACTTGTTCAGCCATTCCCCAATTGATGGGCATCCCCTCAATTTCCAATTCTTGGCCACCACAGAAAGAGTTGCTATAAATATTTTTTGTACATACAGAACTGTTAACAGTCTTCTAAACTGGTAAACATTGGTCAGGAAATTTGGGTGAAGTTGGCTTAATGGGCTCGTTATTTTTTGATAGTGTCTTTCTCTGCTTCTGTCTCTCCTCCTTCCTTTCTGCCTCTCTGTCTTCTCTCTTTCTCTCCCTCCTTCCTGTCTCTCTTTGTCTCTCCTCCTTCCTTTCTGTCTCTCTGTCTTCTCTCTTTCTCTCCCTCTTTTCTGTCTCTCTTTGTCTCTCCTCCTTCCTTTCTGTCTCTGTCTTCTCTCTTTCTCTCCCTCCTTCCTGTCTCTCTTTGTCTCTCCTCCTTCCTTTCTGTCTCTGTCTTCTCTCTTTTTCCTTCCTCTGTCTCTCTCTGTTTCTATCTTTCCTCCTTCCTATCTGTCTTTTCTCTTTATGTCCCTCCTTCCTCTGTCTCTCTGTGTCTCTGTGTCTCTCCTCCTCACCCTCACCCTGTCATCACCTTCCCCATATGTTCAGTTCTGGGCACCAGGTTTTAGGAAGGGCATTGGTAAGCTGGACAGGGTCCCAGAGCAGGGAAAACTGGATGGTGATGTACCTTGAGGTCATGCTATATGAGAATCAATGGGAGGAACTGGAAATGGTTAGCTTGGTGAAGAATAGACCTGCAGCATGTTTACTGTCTTAAGATATTTGTAGAACCGTCATGTGAAACAGGGACTAATATTATTCTGCTTGACTTCAGAGGGCAGAACCAGGAGGTATAGCTAGAAGCTGTAATGAGGTCAATAATATACTTCATGTAAGGAAAATATTTCCTAACAATTCGATAAAGTGGATCAGTCATCAAAAACAGGGCTGCCTCCAAAGACAGTGGTATCCCCCGGCTGGAAGTCCTCAGGCAGAGGCTGCATGTCCACTTGAGAGGGAAGGTACAGAAAGGATTTTTGTTCGGGTATGGGTTGGGTTGGACGGCTCTGCTTTCCTTTCCATCACAAAATTCTGGACTCTTCCCAAATGAAGCAGAGACGTGCTGCCTTTGGAGGTGGATGGGATTTGAGTCACTGGATCACTTCACTCAGCATCAGTTCATATAAGTCAGACTTCCTGTCTGACATTATCAGCATCCCAAAGAGACCTCATTATGCTGCCATGCTTCTGGCGCAGGCTGGGAGGATGGAGCTGTAAAGAAAGCCTCACTCTGCCGTCACTACCTCCGGAGGTGACATTGAAGGCCCAGGGAGGGCCAGGGGAGCATCTGTTCTGTTGGAGGAAGGGTGATGCCACTGCCATGGGAATGATCTACAGATATGAGTTCAGTCCTGTGGCCACATTTCTCCATGAGCCTGCCTAACGTGAGTCTGGATACCCAATCTTTGGGAAGACAGCTCAGGAAGGTTATGACCTTGGGCCTGAGTCTCTTCAATGGCTGTGCTCCTTGACTGTAAGGGACAGTGCTTCTAATAATAGACTCCAAAGTCCCTGCTATCCCAGCTGCTAGATGGGAGGTCCTCACCTTGAGAGATCTCACTTGGAGAGCAGAAAAGGTCCTGGAGTAAAATAGCCCCAGCTGGGCTACATCGAAAACATCCCAATGTGCCAGTCCGGGGAAAGGTCTTCAAAGGCATGAGTGTCATTAGAATTTCTTAGAGGGGCAGCTAGGTGGCACAGTGGATAGAGCACTCAGGAGGATCTGACCTCAGACACTTGACACTTACTAGCTGGGTGACCCTAGGCAAGTCACTTAACCCCAATTGCCAAAAAAAACAAACAAAAAAACTTCTTAGAACAGAGAAGACCCTTAAGATGCCTCTTAGACTTATCAAACTCCTACCAGTGAGACTGTAGTAGGCTAGGCTAGGCTAGGACTGTATGGAATTTGAAAGAAGAAAGAGACCTAAGAGTACATCTAGTTGTATCTCCTCATTTTGGAGACAGGAAATGAAAATCCTTCCTTTTGGGCCATTAACCCTCAGCTGCCTCCACCTCACTGCTGCCAAGTGTGAACTCCAGAAAGCTCAAATTTTCTGGCTAATTTCTTCTGATTTGGCTAGAAATCCCCAACTCCTCCCACCACCACCAGTCACAAGATCATAGGATTATAGGATTTAAATCTGGAAGAAACCTTAGAGTCCATCTAGTCTAACCCTTCAATTCACAGATGAGGAAACTAAGGCCCAGTGACTAGCCCCAGATCACAGAGACTCAAGGAAGAAGAGCCAGGACTCAAACCTCAGTTTTCTTGCTCCAAATCGAATTCTCTTTCCCCTGTTCCTAGCTCCAGTGCCCTGTGGCAATACCCTGGGTTTCTTACATGTAGGCTGCGACTCTGCATCCTGTAACCTGAGCTTGGAACAGACGTGGGGGCTGCGGTTTGCTCTTCAGAGGCTTCCAGCTTCCTTGTCCACCTGGGGCCAGGTAGTATTCAGACAGCTTTACCTCAGTCTCACGTGTATCCTTCTCTCTCCAATGCATAAGGCGTTAGGTGAGGTTAGCACTGCCAGCCACTCCTCCTTGTTTGGTTGGGTTTTTTTTTTGTCTCCTCTCCCCTCCTTCTCTCTTCCCCCCCCCATCTGTGGGCTCAGACAAGGTGTGGGTTGGGTGGAAATTGCCACTGCTTTCATCCCTGGAGATCCTCTCCTCACACCTCTCTCTCCTCTCTTGCCTCCACACACAGGCAGCAACCCCGAGGACATGGATAGACTATATTTTGGTAAGTCAAACACTGCATGTTGTTATCATCTTTGATCATTATGGGCCAGGACATCCTTCATCCCTTGGGGGAATCACATGAGTGAGAGATCCCTAGGACTTTAGGCAATGGGGTGAAGAACAAGAATGAAGTCGAAATGCATGTATTTCATATCATCTGGCTGTCTAGATGAGGATGGGAGAATGAGATTAGGAGTCCAAAGATCTGGGTTCTAATTCTGTTTCTGTTACTGTCTGTTGCTTGTCCTTTGTTCTCAAAGAGGACCATGACATCAGGGAGGTGATGCCATGACAAGCAAGTAAATTGGATTTAAGGGAGGGAGGGCTGAGCAAAGTCCCCAGTCTCACTTTCTCCTCCGGAGCCATCCAGGTCCCTGTATCAAGATACAGATTAGGACGACTTGAGATGGCCCTGCGGTTTGCTGTCTATGACTAACTTTTTTAGCCTCAATTTTCTTACATATAAAATGGGAATTAATAAGTTTTAGAGCTAGAAGGAGTCTCTGGATTACCTACTCCAACTCTCTTATTTTATAGATGAAGAAACAGAAGCCCAGAGATTTAGGCTGACTGGTCAGCCTTCTACAAGGTAGAAGTCAGTAAAGAGCCAAGATTTAAACTAGCAGTTAACCCCAACTCCAGCGGCCTTTTCTCCTGCCTGCCTTGCTTATGGCCCTGGGTTGTTGGGAGAATCCCACGAGATTGTGTAAGTGAAGTTACTTTGAGAACTACAGAGTACAAAGTAGACTTGGGGAATTGTTACTGAACCGTATAGTGCAAAGAACCCTGAGTCTGGAGGCTGAGGGGCTGGGTTCCAATCTGAACTCTGCTGCTAACTATCTGTGATAGTGGCAGGCCACACTTCTCTGGGCCTTAGTTTCTTCTTCTGCAAAAAAAAAAAAATGGAAAGGAGGGATTGCTGAATTGGAAAGTTTTAAGGTCCTTCCAACTTGAAATTTATGATTCAATGACATTTATTGTGTCATAGAAAAACAGTGTGATATGTTGGACAGAACTCTGAACTTGGATTCCAAAGACCCAGGTTCAAGCCCTGTTTCTATTACTTATCAGGAGGATGACCTTGGGAAAGTGAATTCACTTCTCTATCCTGTTTCCTCATCTGCAATGTTGTGGGGGATCAAGCAAGATAATGTGCTAAGTCAGCCTTATAAATGTAAACTGGCACCATTCTGCTTTCTCCCCTTCCCCACCCTGCCTCCGAGTGGAAAGGGGGAGGAAGAGGGAAGGTATGTTATATTATATTACGTTACAGCTAATGTTCAACACCTGGGCTAATGTCCACCAAATGCAGATGAAACCTAAGAGCGTAACTCTTAACCCACCCTGCCCCTCCTGTCCTCCAAAATATGATTCCTGGCATTTACCAGGTCCGTGGGAACAGAGACTATAGCGAAATCAAAGGGGGTCTGTTACTCACGGACCCCTGACTAACTCCCTAGGCCCTGTACACAAGCCATCCAACTAAACTGTGGTCAGGGTACAGGTGGCTGACTTGGGGAGAGTGACATGTTAACTCCCCATCCCCACCCCGCCATGAGTCTCCAAAAGTTCCCTAGTGCTTCTCAGCCCTTGTCCAAAGTGCCAGTTGCAGCCTGTCAGTCTGGAGAGAATGGCGCCACGATTAAGGCCAGCACTGCTGAGCTTCGGAAATTTCCTTTGAGAAGGAATAGTACAACGCCCCTCTCCAGCCTCGTCCTCAGCCTCATCCCATATGTGCCCGTGCGTACACACACGCACACACACACACACACACACACACACACACACACACACACACACACGTCCATGGTTCCGTTCCCTTGCTTCCTGTGTCTGGACTGTGTCACAAATCCTATTAATTTGTCCTCATTCCCTCCCCAAAGCCTTAGATGTGCTTTCCACTCCCCCCCTCCCCAAGCTTGCCCAGAGCTCTCCTTGTGACCAGGGTAAATATTACCCTGGCATTGTTAATGTTTAATGCCCCCCTTCCAGTCCCATACTCTTACCCACCCACCCACCCCCACCTTAGACACACTCAGTAATTAGCAGGCAGCCACAGAGAAGACATAACCAGCACAATGCCAGGGACAATGATGGCTAAAAGTAAGTGTATATGTGTCACATATGCATGTGTGTGTAGGGGGAAATTTCTTCCCCTTTGGGGCACATGGAGGGGTGGTAGTTCAGGGGTGGGCTGACCCCACTGCTTCCTGAGAAAAGAACAGAGCAAGGTTAGGCAAAAGTTGGAGGGGAGATGCAGTTCAGGTTTCTACCCTTTCTCCTCATGGTGCTTCGCCCACCTCTTACTGAAAGGAGAAAGATTCTTTTGCTGCCCAGTGCTAAGGCCCTGATGGAGAAAGGCTGGGCTCAGGCAGAGGACTCGATGGATGTCCAGGTCATGCAGTCCTCCCCAGGCCTATCCCTCCAGGGCCCAGTTGTGGGCAATCAGAGAACGGTAGCTTCAGGAGAGATGTGTGGCCCAAAGGGAGACTTGTCCCTCCCCATCCCAACTCCCAGTCTTATTCAGGACCCTCTCTAAGGAGTGTAATTGTAAGGGGATGGGACTAGGAACCAGGGGTCTGGGTTTTCCCCTTAATTCCTATTATTATTATTTTTGCAAGGCAATTGGGGTTAAGTGATTTGCCCAGGGTCACCCAGCTAGTGTCAAGTATCTGGCCTGAAACCAGATTTGAACTCAGGTCCTCCTTACTCCAGAGCCAGTGCTCTATCTACTGCACCACCTTGCTGCCTCCCCCCTCCTTAATTCCTAAAGAGTAAGAGCCACTGACCTCCCCTTACTTTAGACTCTTCTTGGGAATAGAGAGCTCATCTCCCTTTAATTCCTGCCCAGTCAAAGGAGTAAGGCTAGCCCTGCTCAGGAGCCTCTGAGCTCCACCCAGACCCTGAAGGGGTGGTACCATGCAGCTGCTGACAGATGTATTTTTATAGCCGTAAGCACTTCTCTTTTAGTGCCCAAGGAGAAAGGGTATGTACGCTTGTGAGGAGGCCTAACAGAAGAGCCAAGGGCTTCAAACACTCCTGTCATTGGTGGGCAGCTGTAGGCTGCCCCTGTGTCCTAGAGCCTGGTTTGTCTTACCCAACAAGTAGTGCAGTGGATAGAGCATTAGACTTGGGGTCAGAAAGACCTGAGTTCAAATCCTACTGCACTGTGTGACCATCTTGGGCAAGTCACTTAACTGTTACAAGCCAGTGTCCTCATTTGTAAAATAGAGATAATAACAGCATCTACCTCATAGGATTGTTAGGTAGCTAGGTGGTGCAGTGGATAGAGTGCTGGGCTTGGAGTCAGGGAGACTGACCTTCCTGAGTTCAAATCCAGCCTTAGATATTTTCTGGCTGTGTGACCCTGGGCAAGTCACTTCACCCTATTTGTCTCAGTTTTGTCATCTGTAAAATAAACTGAAGAAGGAAATGGCAAACCACTCCAGCATTTCTGCCAAGAAACCCCCAAATGGGGTCAGGAAGAGAGTCAGACGTGACTGCAAAGACTGAACAGCAATAACACAGGGTTGTTGTAAGAATCAAAATGAGGTGACAAATGTAAAGTTCTTTGCAAACCTTGAAGTTCTGTATAAAGGCCAGCTCTGGTATTCACTGAGAGCCATAAATGTGCTTGGCCTAGTGAAGAGGCCACCCTGCCTGGAGTTAGAGGGCAAGACAAGGTGACTTGATCCCACATGCAAGAACGCTGGCGTGATGGGGCGGAAAGGGTGCTAACTTAGGAGTCCAAAGACCTGGGTTCCAAACCCGGCTCTGCCACTGACTGGCCAAGTGATCTTGAACGAATCACTTCAGTTGTCTCTCTGTTTCTTCCCAGACGAAGCACTCTCCCTGCATTTCAGTGGCTGTGTCAAAGGCGTCATGGTTCCTTGTTTACTCTGGGTTTTGACCCTTACAATGATTCTTGTGTTAGCCCCTCTGTGGCTGCCACTCCTTCCCCATCCCAGTAGTCACAATGTGTCCTGTGTTCTCCAAATGAGTTTCCTCATTTGTAAATGGAGGATGTCCCAGTCCAATTCCCTTCTAGCTCAGGGCCCTTCGGTCTCTAGGTTTCTATTGGGAGAACCTTTGCCCTGTCTTTTTGAAAATTGTTTTGTGAGATAAGGAGCAGAGAGGAATTAAAAACTCTTGAACAGAGTGGTCAGACTTCCCCAGAGACACATTGAAGTATATTTCAATGTCTTGTCCCATTTTTTGCTGTTGGTTTTCTAATGGCTTAACATTTGAGCCAAGCCATATCCTCCCAATGTTCATCCTACCCTAACCCACTTAAAGCTTACCACACCCCACCTTTTTCCCTGTAGTAACAAGGAGTCTTCTGTTTTTCAAACTAAAACCTGGAAGAGGTACATAGGAACGATGAGCCTTGGAAAGATGAAGGGCACACCCAAGGTCACACAGCATGTATCTGGCATTGCTGGGACTCCAATTCCAGCACCTGCTTATTAAATATTTCAGCCTCTTCTTCTTTGGGCGGACCTTCTTAACTTCATCATCACCAGCTTCCTGTTGCCCATTTGCATACATGTGGCTGCGGGGAGAAAAGGCCTAGGAGCTCTGACTGGTGCTGTTCTGGCCCCAGCTGGTCCTCAGAGGTTTCCTCCTTCCCTTTTTCTCCTCTCTCAGGTGGTGGTCCCAAGGGGGATGAGGACAGATTCCACTACGGTAAGCCTGTCTCTCTCCATTATAGTACTTTGCTACCTGAACCCTGAATCTCCCCTAGATGGATGCCTGAATTGCCCCCCCAACACCTCCCTCCCCATATTATCCCTCCCTTACTCAGAGTAATTCTGCAATGGTAGCTGGAGAGGTGGGAGGAGAAATGGCTGGGTGCTGGTGACTATCGGGGTAATGAGGTGTAAGAGAACCTGGCTTGTCAGGCCCCTCTTAGTTGTTTCTCTTAGCTGTTCAGTTCCCCACTCAGCCTATCCCAAGGCTCAATCACCTCCCCTCAGGCCCCTCTAATCTTCTTTTTCCCCTCCCTGAGATTATGACACCGTCAGGAATGGAGGCCTGATTTTTGCTGGCTTGGCATTCATCGTGGGGCTGATCATTATCCTAGGTAAGTGGGATTTGGCCAAATTGGGGCATGGGGCATGGGGAGGGAGGGGGGAAGGGAAAGGAAGAGTCAGATACAGATGGGTGGAGATTGTAAAATGACCTCTTGTAGAGGTTATAAAAAGATGGCCTCTCGGGAGAGGCATCCTAAGCCACAAAGATGGCCCCTTGGGGGAGATGTCCTTAGCCACAAAGATAGCTCCTTGGGAGAGGTGTTCTTAGCCACAAAGTGGAGACACATTCTCAGTGAGCAGGGGGATGAGGCCCCATCAACTACTAGAGCCAGAAAGAGAGGTTACTAGAAACTAGTGGGGACAACACTGCCCGTGACTGCCACACAGGCCCTACATCAGAGTCTCGGGCAACAAAAGAATACTAAATTTGGGATCAGAGGTCCTGGGTTCAAACTCCAACAACCAGCTATATCACTTGTATTACCTGTGTGACCTTGGGTAAATTACCTTTCTTCTATGTGCATTAGTTTCCTCTCCAGTGATATGAAAAAGTTAAAGTAGAGGCAGAGGATCTGGGTTCAAATCCTGGCTCTGCTATTTACAATCCATGTGACCTTGGGTAAGTCATTTAGCATGTGGTGAACCTCAGTTTCCTCATTCCTAAAATGAGGCAGTTGAACTAGATGAACCCTAAAGTCTCTCACAGTTCTAAGTCCTGAGATTAGATGCACACTAAGGTCTCTTTCCTTATAAAATCCTCTGATCCTAAGTTGGGTACAGGGGACAGAAGGCAGCTCTCTTCTGTTGGAACAGGAAACTGATGTTTCAGGGTATGAGAAATGAGTTTGGTAAGAGAGGAACGCTGAAAGGATGAAGAGGGCCAGGTACTTAGCTGCTGTCCATTTCCTCCGCAATGGAATCAGGAAAGGCTGGCTTCAGGAGAAATACATGGCCCAAGAGAGCCAGAAGAACAAGAGAAATGATCCACCTTTATCCCTTCCGTAATGGGATTTTGGAAAATTAGGTGGATGGGAGAAAGGAAAAATGAGGTCTTGAACTTAGATGCAGAAATCTGATTTGGGCTTTTTCAGCTTGGCATTGAAGGTCTGGCATAATCTGATTCTGTTCTCCCTTTCCGACCACATCTCCCACCCTTCCCCAGTGGCCAAGGGACACTTCAGTGACCCTGGATTGCCTTGTGAACATGTAGAATTCTAGATTTAGAATGAGAAGTGATGCTAGAGGCCATCTGGGTGAGCCTCTTCATTTTATAGATGAGGAAATTGAAGCCAAAAGCATTTGAGTGAGCCTCCCAAAGTCACACAAGCAGCAGTCGATGGCAGAGATGGGATCCAAACCAGAATCTCTGAGGTCAAATTCAGTGATCTTTGCATTGCACCATATTGTTTCTCTCCTCTACTCCGATTCTCAACACCATGTTTTGCATCCACATTTTTTTCTCCCCTTGGTTCATCTGAATCCTTCTAATCTCTTAAGGCCCAGTTTAAGTCTTACTTCCTCTGTGAAGTATTCCCTTACAATCTCTCCCCCAAAAATCTTTCTCTTCCCTGAACTCCCATAGGTTTTATAGTCAGTAGAGCATAACATTTCCTTATCTTCAATTGTCTCATGCCTATTCATCTTGTCTTCCCCTTAGACTCTAAGCTCCTTGAAGACAGGTCCTATCTCATAGGTGTTTATTACATCTTCTAGCACATCTAGCACGGAGCTGGGCCAATTACATGATGCTAGGAGCTAGAGCTAGGAAGAGACCTTAGAGGGATCATTCTGTCCAATCAGACCATTTCACATTTGGCAATAGTGTAGGTATAAGGCAGGGGAATGAGCATCTATGTAGTATCTATTATGTGCCAGGCACTACGCTAAGCACTTTTTACAAACATCACATTTGATCCTCATTGCAATACCGCAAGGTGGGTACTGTTATTATCCTCATTTTTTGTTGTTGTTTGGTTATTTTGTGGTCATGTCCAATTCTTCATGACCCTGTTTGGGGTTTTCTTCTTGGCAGAGATACTGGAGTGGTTTGCCATTTCCTTCTCCAGCTTATTTTACAGATGAGGAAACTGAGGAAAACAGGATTAAGTGACTTGCCCAGGGTCACACAGCTAGTAAATGACCCCATTTTACAGTTGAGGAAACTAAGGCAGACAGAATATTAAGTGACTTGCCAAGGGTCACAGAGCTAGTAAGTATCTGAGGCTGAGTTTGAACTCAGATCTTCCTGACTCCAGGACCAGTGTTCTATCCACAGTGCCACCAACTGCCTCCAGTAAGGAAGGTTATTCTCTCCATCTCTTGGTCACTAAGGTACAGCTACTGCATGGCATTGCCTGCCCTTAACTTTTCAAATCCACCTTCAAGTTGGCCTCTGGGCCCATTCCTTCACTTCTTTTGGAGCTGTGACCACTGCCCTCCTTTTCTTTCAGGACAGGAAGGCTAGTTTGTCAATCATAGTCTGACCCAAGGCCTGAGTAGGGTTAGGAAAATTCTTGAGGCACACAAATAGAGGAATGAGGGATTTCTTGCCCTTCAGCAGCATTAGCCTTCCACCCTATTATATAGAGATGAAAAAACTGAGGCCCAGAGAAGGGAAATGTCTTACCCAATATCATAAAGCTGGCTTGTGGCAAAGCCCAAGATTTGAACCCAAGTCTTGGGACTCCAAATCAAGTGGGTGTTTTTATTTTTTTTCCACTGCATCACACATTACCTCCATGACATTCAGAGATTGATTGAGGATTCTGTGGGAGCCAAAGTCTGCACCAAATATAGAGCTGGTCTAAGGGAAGGAGGGAAAAGGAAAGGAGAGAGTGGAAGAGCTGGGCTTACAGGAAGGAAGTAGGTTTCTCTTGAGTTAATGAAAATAATTTTTCTTGTCTGTCTTCAAAGGCAAAAGACTGCGTTGTGGGGGCAAGAAGAAACTCCGGTGAGTTACTGGACAAGTTGGGGGTAAGGAGAAGGGGAGAAGAGGAAGCACCCTACAGAGATGCAGAGTCTTAGAGTCAGAATCATAGGGCAGTGCGGGCGATCAGATATAATCCAGTCCAACCTCCTTATTTTAGATGAGGAAATGGAGATTTTGCCCCTGAGGCTGGAGGGCAAGGTCTCCCAGGCTTGTGCCACTCCCTATCTTGGCCTAGCCCCTGCCTTTTTCTCCCCTCTCTTCTCCCTTCCACCCCACTGCACTTTAAAAAGGGCTTTTCTTTCCTCTCTCCTACACAGGCAAATCAATGAAGATGAACTTTAAGTACAGGTATGTGCCAGGAGGGCAGAGTTGGAGGGTGGGGTGGGATGGAGAATGCAGGAGTTGTCCTCCGCATTGATAAAGAACCAAACAACAGATAAAGCAGAAAAGCTTGAGGCTGGACTACAAAATAAACAGAATGATCGATCAATAATCAGATTTTAAGTGTCTATTACGTGGCCAGTCCTGGGCTAAAACCCTTGCAACCCCTGTCCCAAAGCCCACTGGTATGCGACTCTTTCCTTATCGGTAGACATGAAGGTTTCATCTGCACCAGTAAGGAGAGAGTTTCATACCAATGAAGACGAAGGCTCCAAGACTTCATCTCATCAATAAGGAGAGAGATCCATGCCTTCCTCTCCCCCAATAAGGAGAAAGTCTCATATCCTCATTTTCACCAATAAGAAGAGAGTCCTGTATCAATGGGCTTTGGGACAGGGGTTTCCCCTTAGAATGGGCTAGAAAGGGAAACTACAGGAGCTGCTAGAAATTCTCCCAGAAGAAAGAATACTCTTCTACATTCCCTTCTGTTACCCTAATCTAGGGCTTTATTGCCACTTATTGCAAGAAACTCCTAACTGGTATACTTGCCTCCAATCTTTTTTTTGGGTTATTGAATGAATGGACTGTGAAAACAAGAATTATTATTATTTACATGATTAATAATCATCTTTCACATTATTTACATTTAAGCTTGTTCAATTATTTTTCAGTCATGTCTAACTATTCATGACCCCACCTGGGGTTTTCTTGGCAGAGACACAGGAGTTGTTTGCCATTTCCTTCTCCAGCTCATTTTACAGATGAGGAAACTGAGGCAAATGAGGTTAAGTGACTTGCCCAGGGTCACACAGTTAGTAAGTCCTGAGGCCAGATTTGAACTCACAAAAGTGAGCCTTGCTGACTCCAAGCTTGGAGCTCTATCCACTGCACCACCTAGTGGCCCTACTTTAAAGTTTACAAAGTGCTTTCTGGGTGTAGCAGAAAGTACTGTCCCTGGAACTGAGATACCTGGATCTGAGTGCTGCCTCAGACAGCTGGCAGCTATATGATCATGAGCTAGTCATTTTCATCTCTCTGAGCCTCAATTTCCTCATCTGTAAAATGGGAATAACAATGTTTGCAGTATCTACCTCATGGAGTTTGTTTAGAAGAAAGAACTGTGTGATCAGTTATTCTAACAAGAACCCCATGAAATCCGTAGTGAAAGTCTTTTTGCCCTCATTTTACAGATGATGAGAATATGGTGCACAGAGATCCTTTTGCTGAGGACCACACAACCACAAACGTCAGATATGAGCTTAGACAGTTTAGACCAGAGATGCCATCCTGGGTTTAGTGTGGCCTAGGATGTTTGGGAGGAAGGAGCTAATTCAAAGAGTGTTGTAGCATTAAAAACGAACGAACAAACAAACTCCATTTGATTTGAATGTCTCCACGAAGCATAACAGCTCATATCCATCTAGTACTCCAGAAAGAGCTTCCTTCACAATAGCCCTGTGAGGTATGCAGGACAAAAAGTATTAGTATCCACATTTTTACAGATGAGGAAACTGAGGCACTATGGTTTAATGACATAGTCATTCAGCTGGTAGGTGGGATCTCCTAACTATAAGTCTAGAGCTGCTGGGCCTTGTTCTCTTCGTTCATTGTGTGTGTGTGTGTGTGTGGTGTGTGGTGTGTGTGTGTGTATAAATTTAAATGTGTGTGTATATGTTTAAATTTAAAAATATTTAAAAAAAATAAAGGTACCTAGCTGAATGCTAATAGTGTATTAGGTACTGTACCAGAGGAAGGGCAAGGGAAAATCATTTTACATTTAGCAAATTACATTTAATTATAAAAAATTACATTTAGTACATCTACCATGCATAAACACTATGCTTAGCACTTTACAAGTATTGTCTCACTTGATCCTCACAATAACCCTTTGAGGTAGCTGTCATCATCATTCCTATTTTACAGTTGAGGAAACTGAGGAAGCCAGAGATGAATGACTTGTCCAGGATCACAACTCGTAAGTGTCTGAAGCTGCATTTGAACTCAGGTCCTCCTGACTCTAGGCCTAGTGCTCTATTTACTAAGCCACTTAGCCCTGTGTACAGGGGGAGCTATGAAGATAAATAAATCACAGTCCCGGCTCCCAAAGAGTTTATAATCTATTAAGGAAGGTAAGATAATTATAACCAAATAACCACAATTCAAAGTATAATGTGAGAAGTATACCTGAGAAGTATACACAAGCCTCTCTCCCTGCCCCATACACGTATATGGCTGTCTGTCTGAGACTGATAGATATCTATCTAATACACTACTGATTTATTGACTGATGATCACCTGTTCTTTCTATCTTTCTGTATCTATCAATGCATGTATACACGTGACCACATCTAAGGTCTTCCTCTGATGTTGCTTCATGGCCTGAGAGTAACCCTGAGGTCTCGAAGGCTATAGCAGTGGAGCTATACCGAGCTCTGACATGTCCTATTATACTGAAAAGGCTTCACCTGCATAGCCAACGATGAACAGTATAGTCATGGGTCCAGTGATGAAAAGGCTCAACTACAGAGGATGGAATACCAGGGGGATAATTGGTTTGTGGCCACAGTAATTCAAGAAGCATGAAGGGGTTGGAGTCAGTATCAGGACAGACCTGTTAAGCATTTAAGTATATACAAATGTATTTGTGCGTGTACATATATATATGTGTGTGTGTGTGTGTGTGTGTGTGTACCTGCATATACATGTAATACCTACTTAGAGATGTACTAAATGTCTCTACATGAAAAAAGATCACTCCCTCAAATTCTCCTAGAGTGCTTTGGCCATATGTCTTCTTTGCCCCTCCCTTCCCATTCCTTATTTTTGTTTGTTTGGTTTTTTTTTTAGGCAATTGGAGTTAAGTGACTTGCCCAGGGCCACATAGCTAGTAAGTGTCAAGTGTTTGTTCTGAGTCCAGATTTGAACTCAGGTCCTCCTGACTTCAGGGCTCACCTAGCTGCTCCCCCCCCCATTCCTTATTTTGCATAATTATTTTTCTGCCTACTTGGGCATTTTCTACTAGACTGATTGTAAGTGCCTTGAGGGCAGGCTCTGTGACTTTCATCTTCCTATATTTCCTGGTACCTAGCATAGATGTTTATAATACGCACTTAAATACTTGTTGAATTGAATTGGATGGAAGAAATCTGGATAATAATCTGAAAATAGGTCTGGTGGGGCTTGGTGGCTGGTTGGGGACAGAAGTGAGCCGTGGGGCTGGAAATACCGAGAACGCTGACTAACAGCTTCTCCAAGTAATAAGAGCGCAATCTCTGGGGTCTGATAGAGGATGTCCTGTGTTCTCCATCCATTAGTTCTGAGTGTGACCATGACAATGAGTGAACTGGATGTAATAACCGGAGTGCTGATTACACAGAGTACCTCTCTGGGGCCCTTCAGTCTTATCAAAGCCCTGCCGTGTACATTATGTGCCACTTCGTTATGATTCACATTCTCAAGTTCTTTGAGGCTAGAAAGCCATTTGCCTCATGAAACAACCCTGAGAGGCTCTGAGGGGTTGATTTACTCACACTCATGAAGCAACTAAGGGTTTAAGACAGGATTCAGGCAAGGTATTCTGACCTCACATCCAGAGCTCCTTACACGTGCTGTCTCTCATTTTGATTCTCACAATGTTCCTGTGCAGGGAGTAGTAATATCTCCATTTTACAGATAAGGAAACCGAGACCTAAGGAAGTTAAATGGCTTGCCTAAGGGAACAAATATATGTTAATGGCAAAACCTCCACCTTTAGTTCAGGCTCTCCCCACACTGCTTCAGGGCGCACCTCTGGCCAGGAGCATTCTGAGTCTTAGGTTCTCATCAGAAGGGTTCTGAGAGGAAGCGGAGAGACTACAAGTAGATGAGCTGAATTATAATAATCTGTATTTGCTAGAGCCCATTTAAGAGGCAGCTGGGTGGCTCAGTGGATGGAGCACTGGGCCTGGAGTCAGGAAGACCTGAATTCAAATGTGACTTCAGGTCCTTACTAGCTGTGTGACCCTGGTCAAGTAATTTAACCTTGGTTTGCTTTAATCCCCTGAAGAAAGAAATGGCAAACCATTTCATAGCCTGTGGTAGTGCAAATATCATTCCCACTTTGCAGATGAGAAAAATTGAGGTTCAGTGAAGTGAAGTCAATTTGCCCATAACTATTAATTGTCTGAGGCAGAATTTGAATTCTCAGATCCTAAGATTCTAAGATTCTAAGTCCAGCGCTCTTTGTAATACACTGCGTCAAGGCGTGGAACGAGGGATCTTGGGACCGTACTGCATTCCACCCTGACCCTTCATTCCATAATCCACTGGGGATTTTGCCAGGGAAGTTACTTTTGCGGGCCTCAGGACAGGAGGGCTACTTTCCGGGGGGCCTCTGATAAATCTTGGTGTGCATTCTGTCTTATCTTTTCAGTCAGTCGCATCCACTCCTGCAGGTTCTGCACTTCGTTTCCCTGGACAAGGGAGCTGTGCCTATTCTGGAGACCTCCTCAGTGCCCTGCTGTCATTTATGCCTTTGCTACCGGAACTTTCCCCCAAGGCCAAGGCCGGTCTGGGCTTTGTGGTCTACATCGCCTGTCTCCCTCCCTCCCCAGGCCTCTTTGCGATGATAATAAAGCTGACTCCTGAGAGGGCACCTTCCCTGTGCTGTCCTGAATTGGAGTGAAGGGATTCTAGCACATCGAATCATAGCACCTAGAAAAGGGGCTCTTTACCTGGGGGGCTGTGATTTTTTAAAAAATATTTTGGTCATTATTTCAATGCAACTGTTTTCCTTTGTAATCCCAAGTTTTTTTTATTGTACGTGTTGAAAAACATTCTCTTCCTGACTGCCAAAAGGATCCATGGCCCAAAAAATGCTCAAGTAACCCTGCTGTAGAGCTAGGAAGATGGTTGAGATCTTCCTAGGCAAGATGATCATGTCATAGATGAGGAAAGATGCACAGAGAGGTTGTGACTTGCCTAAGGTCACACACACCTTAAGGTACACAGCAGACTCAGGGATCCCTCCTTCAGGCCAGATAGGCCGGGTTAGTCAGGGACTTTAAATAATTCACCATCATCATCACTCACATTTATATAGCGCCAGGCACTCTATAATTATTATCGCATTTGATCTTCACAACAACCCTGGGAGGGATAGTGCTGTTATTAATTCCATTTTACAGATGAAGGAACTGAGGCAAACAGAGCTTAAGTGACTTGTCCAGGGTCACACCACAATTGGTGAGCATTTGAGGCTGGATCTGAACTCAGGTCTTCCTCACTGCAGGCCTGGTCCTCAATTCACTGTACCATGTAGCTCCATACGGATGTCAGAAGGCACCTAGTCCATCCCCTTGTTTTACAGACAAGCCTCTCTGAGGCTGAGAAAGATCAAGAGGCTCGCCCAAGGTCACACAGGTAGTAAGTGCCAGGTCCTGCCAGGTGTTACACAGATCTTCTGCATCCAAATTTCATGCTTTTTCCACTGACCATACCATGCTGCAATTCAATTTAACATATATTTATAAAGGACCTGACATACACCAAGTACTGTGTTAACCCTGGAGATACAAAGATGAAAAACATAGTTCTTATATCATGACGCAGAAGAAAGAGTGGATGAGTGAAGAGTCAGGAGAAGTTAGCTCAAATTCCCATCCTGTAACTTGTTAGCTGTGTGACCTTGGACAAATCACCTAACCTCTCTGAGCCTCAGTTTCCCCATCTGTATAATGAAGGTGTTGGACTAGACTTCTAAGACCTCTTCTAGCTCTAGAGCTATAACCCTGCAATCCTCAAGGAACTTGTAGACCGATAGAAGAGCGTTAAATAAGTTCATACCTTAAGGTAGAGTGGGAGAGGGTTAAGGAGAGTCAGGAAAAGTGCTACAAGAAGTCTTCCCATCAGGAACATCCACCCAACCCTGGGGCATAAGGGCCATCCCCTGAGTCATGGAGTATGTGAGCTCTGCAGGTACGTGACACGTGCCACCGTGATTGGGCAAAGTACATGCGGTCCTGCGGAGCTTCTCTTCTGAACGCCACACAGAGGTACTCTGGGAGCATCTGGTAGGTAGAGGAGATATTGTTGGGCCACCTCTAAAATAATTAGTGTATTCATAACTGGCCTCCATCTTTCCCCTTCCCAGTTTCCAGGAGTCTTGGTGGAGTCTACCTGATCCAGGAAGGAATGGCGGACGGCTGTGACAATGGCACCATCTAGTGGCTATGCATTTCACGACTCGGCTTCAATTAAGGATACTGAGTCACTGCCGCTTCCTGTTATGGGAATACTTCTGTTCCTCTCTGTCTTTTATCTGCTTTCTCTAGTCTTCCCCTGTCCTTGTCTCTCCCCATCAAACCCCAAAGTAAACCAGGTAGTCAAAGGGAGTGATGTAAATGAGGTAATATCTGTAAGGCACTTTGTAAACCTTAAAATGTCAGACAAATGCTAATTTCATCAATGTCAATTCTTCTCCTCCTAGTTATTGCCATGATTGTTATTATTGTTGTCACCAAGGTGGCCTAACTAGACGTGAGACAGAGACAAAGAAGGAAAATCGGTTGCTGAAGTCCAGAGAGGGAAATTGTAAAGAAAGATGATGAGGGGAGGGGCAGATGGAGGTAATTAGGAAAGAAGAGGGCTGAGGAAAGGATGTGGGTGGGTTCCATTAAATGTACTTCATCTCAGCAAATCTTTAGCTGTCATGGACTTACTTATGTTCTGAAGAATACAGATGTCCTTCCTACTGTCAAGGAGTTTACAATCCATCAGGGCTGACAAGGACTTTTACACATGAAAGAAAAACAGGGCAAGGCAGTCTATGACCAATCCCAGAGTGAGTGGGATGCCAGAAGGGCTACAGGCATCCAGGAGAAGGAAAGCAAAATCATTTTTCTTATCATGCTATGTAGCCAATGTCATAGAACCTTCACTTACATTATTTCATTTCATCTTATGACAACATGCTATTCAGTCAGTATAGGTATTACTATCTCCATTTTATAGGTGAAGAAATTGATGCTTTGAGAAGCTAGATGACTTATCCAGGATCACACAGGTAATTAGTAGTATTTGAACAGGTATAGCCCAGTGTCCTTTTTCCATCTCAACGTTCGTGGTCACGAACATGTTATTCTTTTCTAAGCCTTTATTCAGTGAAGATCCATAATCACTCAATATGATTTGACCTATCTACCCAGGAAAAACCTAGTGGATGAAGAATATGATAGTTGTTGGCCAAACTATACTATGCAGTTGGATGGAGAGCTTCTATAACTCATCGGTCACAATATATGTATTGGGCAGACATTGAAATAGATGATGTGTTGGGCCCAGAATCAAACAGCAGCAGAGTGGGCTAGATTGACCTTGGGAAATTCTTCTGACAACCCCAAGCTTCTCCCTGAAACAAAGACCCATCTTTTTATTATCATTATTATTATTCTGGTTCTGATTATTGTGTGGCTGCAAGTCATGGAACATTAGTTTCTGAAAAATTGAAATTGAGGATCACCCAAAGGACAACGAGGAGGCTTGTGGTAGGTGTGAGCTGACTGCAACACACAAGGCAGGATGAAACGTTTGTTTTTGGACATGGACAGCTCAGGAACTTGTTTTGCTTGATGGTACGTATTTGTTACAAGGATTTTATATTTATTTTTTCTTTTTCAATGGAGAGGGGAAGGTAGGAAGGAGAAAAAGTAAATTTTTATTAAATGAAAAAAATTGATTTGATTCTAAAAAAATAAAATGAGGAAGTTGGACTTTATCTCTAAGGTCCCTTTGAACTAGTGAAAGCTGATAGCCCATGTGCTCCATTGATATTCTTGGGATGTCAAGAGAAATCAAGAAAAGCCCCCAGAATATTGGATTAACTGTCTGTGGTGAGTTTATGAATAGTCATAAGCAGGTATGGAAGAACTGGCATATGTATTGTTGGAAGGAATATCCACAAGAATGAGATAACACATCCATTGACGAACTAGGGTATACAGTATTATACTGGTACAAGTCAGACCAACATAGACCCTTACCCTGGGAGTTTGCAGTTTAAGAAAGACAGACTTGTTGATCACGGCTTCCCAACTCTGTTCATTCCAAAGTAGTGAAATAACTTCTATGTTTTCCTTAGCACTTCTACTTAGGACTTGGTTCTGATCCCCACAGATGAGAATAGGGATCTGACTATGACAGTAGTGTCAACAAATACACCCAAGAGGAAAAGAGAACCAGTACTCCTAAGGGACCTTCCAAGAGTACATTCCATCAGGCTTTATTCTCTAAGTCAGTAGTTCTCAAAGTGTGGTTCAGGGAACTCTGGCGGTCCTCAAAACCTTTTCACGGGGCTCAGGGGGTAGAAAAAATTCATAATAATACTAGCACGTTTTAATTTCTAATATGGCAAATATCAATAGCTATAACCCACATAAACAAGAGCTCTTAAGCGGTACTCAATAATTTTTAAGAGTGTAAAAGGGTCCTGAGATCCAAAGTCTGCTCTAAGAAACCTGCAGCACCAGTCTGAAGGCAGAATCCCTCTTTCTGTTCCAGCAGCCACCCAGTACTCTCTGCCTAACCTGAACACGCTAACTCTGATTTCTGGCATGACCACATTATTTCCTCCTAGCTTTCCTGGTCTTGTAAGGAGTAAATGTTTTTATCTGACTTGACAGGGCGGGGTTAAAACAACAACAACCACAACATTGACCTAAAGTTTCACCAATTAAGTAAAGGAAAAAATAATAAACAAGCCAAAAAAAAAGTAGAAGTATAAATTGACAAGTCAATAAAAATTTAAGTCATCAGATCCCACTTCTGCTACTTACTGCTTATGTGACATTAGATGAATTTCTTAAACTCTCGGCCTCAGTTTCTTCATCTGTAAAATGAGGGACTGACAATTCCAGAGGACATGTGGTCAAGCATGCTGCCCATCTCATGACAGAAAGTTCATGAACTCAAGGGACTGAATGAAACACATATTTTTCTACATGGCCAATGCAGGAATTTGTTTTGCTTGACTGTGCATATTTGTTACAAAGGTTTTGTTGTTGATTTTTTTTCATTAATTTTCAATGGAGGAGGCAGAATAAAGTAAATTTCTCCTAATTGAAAAAAATTCAATTTGATTTTTTTTTTAGGCAACTGGGGTAAAGTGACTTGCCCAGGGTCACACAGCTAGTGTCAAATGTTTGGTCTGAGGCCGAATTTGAACTCAGGTACTCCTGACTTCAGGGCCAGTGCTCTATCCACTGCGATACTTAGCTGCCCCCTCAATTTGATTTGTTTGTTTGTTTTAGGCAATTGAGGTTAAGTGACTTACCCAGGGTCACACAGATAGTAAGTGTCAAGTGTTTGGTCTGAGGCCAGATTTGAACTCAGGTCCTCCTGACTTCAGGGCCAGCTGCGCTCTATCCACTGCACCACATAGCTGCCCCACCCTCAATTTGATTTTTAAAAACAAAAGGAAGAGTTTGGACTTGACTTCTAAGGTCCCTTTGAATTCTAAATTTATGTTATGGCCTTGATTAATATGCTAACTCTGACTATCTCTACCCAGGAAGAATTCAAATCCTATTTCATCTGCTATCTCTACCTCCAATTTTACCCTTTTATGATCTACAGCACACACGGACTGGTCAGGTGGCCTGGCCCTCCTATCATTCCCTTAACTGGCTGCAGCTGGAAGCCTCCTCCTCCCCATCCCCAGCAGCATTAGAATGGTCATTGCTAAGTGATGTTGGAATACTGTGCTGGGATAAGTCACATCTTTACAAATGGAGAGAGCTTAGGAGGGACAGGAGTAAATGGAAGGAGGCCAAGGAACATGAGGAGGGTTTGGACATATCTATAAATGGAGCTCTGGAGAAATCTGACTTTCTGTGACTTATCAGAGTGGTTTTCATGATAACACAGTGATTCAGGAAGTCCTGATATGGAGGCCATGAGGATGACAGAATTAAATGTGAAGGAACAACATAAAATCAGGACCAAGTGTCTTTTTTTTTGACAAGGTTAAATACATTTTCAATTGGTGAATGAAAAGGAAACTAGGGAAACCAGGTTATATGTTGACCATGGCTCACATCTACTAGGCAAATTGTTAAAAATATGGTCTGCACTCACAATAGTTCTGTATTTAGAAGGATCTTTATGAAACGGTTCATGCTTCTGCCCTTAGTTAGAGAGCAAATCACTCTCTAACAATGGGCTGAGTGGTTGAGCTCCCTGCATGCTGGGAAAGATGCCTCCCTCCTGCGTGGCTTCCACCATGCCCTCATGATGAAAGACAAAAGGACACCCAGCAACATGTGGACAGGTTCAGTGACAGGTCTTTATGAGAAATAGTATTAAATCAGGCAAATGTATTCTTTAACAGAATGAATTTTTTTAAATGCAATTAAGTGGAAGTAAGGCTGACTCATTTGCTCCTCTCAGCTGGCTTCTTTCTCTTGGCACTCTTGCTAGCAAGGCAGCTCCTAAGATAAGAACACAGTCACCTCCCAACTCATCCATTTAAAAGTTGTCTCTCATAGTCTAGAAAAGGGAATCGCAGATGTGGCAGCCATTGGCTGTTCTTATAGTTAGCATCCCATTCCATGGGATAGCTGTCACTCATTCTCCTTGAGTCCCACCGTCATGAAAAGGTTCCATTCCCTGGCCAAGGACTGATCTTGAATTAGTTTCCTCTTTTCTTAAACAGGACAGGACTACAAATCCCAGGGGGTTTTGTGGCTAGCCAGCCCCTTGCAAGAGAGTGTTACATGTGCAAGATGGCTCTCTGGGGGTGATGGGATCCTGATTAAATGATGAAGAGGATAATCATGCACAAGGAAGTGAGAGTTCAAGATTTTCAGACCTATGATTCAATTTGGGAAAAGTGGTGGTGGTGATGGGGAAAGTCATTTTGAGAAGTTTTTCTTCACTCTCATGCCCAGTGGGATTATCACACTCAGAGGGGAATTCCTTTGGTATCTGAGAGGACACAATGATCCCAGTTCTCAGGCTTTAAGCACTTTGCCTTTTTCATTACAATAATTTCCTTCTTGGACCATTACAACAGGGGAATTCTGCCTCCATCTTTCACTTCAAGCTGGTTATTTCCAACAGTCTGAAGGTTTTTTTTTTATGAGGCAATCGGGATTAAGTGACCTGCCCAGGGTCACACAGCTAGTAAGTGTCAAGTGTCTGAGGTCTGATTTGAACTCAGGTCCTCCTGACTCCAGAGGTGGTGCTCTGGACCATCTAGCTGCACCTTTTGCTTTTTTTTTTTTTCAAATTTTATTTATTCATTCATTCATTCATTCATTCATTTATTTTTAGTTCAAAGCTGAGGTGAGTCACTAGGAGACACAGTGGGGTATATTGTAAAGAGTGCTGTCCTTGGAGTTAGAAGAGATAGATTCAAATCCTTAGGATAATTAGGCACTTGCCTTAGGCAAATAACCCCCACTCTGGGCCTCAATTTCCTTATGTTAAATATTAAATTAAATGGGGATAACAATATCTATACTGCCCAACTCACAGGGTTGTTAAGAGGAAAACATTTTGTAAGTTTTAAAAGGGGTTATACAAATGAAGACGGTTATAATTGTGTGAAAAAACCAGGCTAGGAGAGGACTTTAACATCACACGGTGTTATTTCCTCTATGACCCCTAGAGGGAGCATGTGACTCATGCTGAATCTAGGCT